ATACAATAATATGCTTGGTTTAATAACATTAAATAACAAAATAAATAATTCATAACAAAATTCGTCTAATTTTTTCTCAAAAGGTGATCTTCACGCCCTTTTATGTTTGTTTTTGTGTAACTAAATTCATAATCTCGATTCATGGATTTAATTTATTAAAGTATTTCCATTGTTTTAAAGTATTTCCATTATCTTAATTTTGTATCCATTTGATCATCATGAACTCCTGAATTGTGATTTATAATATTAACGTAGTGATCAACAAATTAATCACTTGACACCTCAGGTCACTTGATTTCATTCAATTTAGTATCTTTCGGATCTTCATTTATCCTTAAATCTCGTGACTAGTAGTTTAAGGTCATCACGGACCAACTACCTTAATCCATGTGATTATTAGTTTAACGACTTCTCGGTCCAATTATCCTTGATTCTCATGACTAATAGTTTAACGACTTTTCGGTCCAATTAAAATAAAAATAAAAATAAATTAAAATTTTATACACTAAGACTAAATATAATACTGCGCCTCACAATTAATAAATTTACTAGATATACTACGGCATTACAGTGTTTTAAAAACAAAAAACGTATCATAACAAAACAATAAACAATCACGTGATCTCGTGTTATGATACGAGATTTTTGTAAAATTATTTTCTAAAAATATTAAGTTTAAAAATTCCGTATACATTCCGTATGATTAATTTTTTCCGTATACATTAGTTTTTTTAAAAAATGTTCAAAAATGAATTGCTTATTAAATATATGGAATTTGTATACGGAAACTATAGAAACGTACATAAAATGTATACAAAACGTATCCTTTCCGTATACATATTTCTTATAGGGTCGAAACCCTACTTTAATTTAAAAACACTCATTTCAATAATAAAGAATCAAGTAAATTATATATGATATTTATAAACGTAATAACTTACAACTATATTACAAATACATATTTTTTTTAAATAAAGAATTTAATTAGTTTAATAAAAACTATGCATAAATGTTTAATTGAATAAATAATATTAACTCAACTTTACTAACTATAATAAATTATCAAATAATTTTCAAATAAAAATTTAGTTAGTTTAAATCATATGTAAATATGTAAGAAATATATTAGTAATAGAATAAAATAATTACGTTCTATTATTAAATAATTTTATTAATAAAGAATTTATTTTAGTTAAATTATATATAAATATCATATAAAATATGTAATAATTGAATTAAAATAATAACTTACCTCCAATATTATAAAATAAAAATTCAGTTAGTTAAAAGTCAAATTATATATAACTAATAAATTATTATTATACAAATTAATAACTTACTCACTATATTATTAAATAAAGAATTTAATAAAAATTTAATTAGTTTAAATTATACACAGGTATTATAATAGATACGTATTGTAAAGTCCTTTGTTAGCGCTTCAGACAATAAATAAATTTCGATGTATATCATTTAAGTATTATTTTATTTTTATTTTACAAACTTAATTCATATTTCGTTACAGATGAAAAGTTAACAAGAATTATTCGGGAAAAATGAGAAATATATTTTTAATGGATCGAAGAAAAAAGTTCACCCTACGTTTTCAAATACAAAGTCTAAGCAACAGTCGGACGACGATTTAATTTAAGACAACGATTTATATTTTAACGCGATGGACGAACTAATAATAACGGATACGCCAGTGCCACGCCGATCAAAAAATCAATACGAATAAAGAGGATGTAGAAGAATTTATACATTTAAATGAGGCTTCTAGTAAAAGATTACTGATAAGACCATTAGTCTCATCCAAACCAAAGGAAGAACACATAAGTTCGGACGATTCAGATGTAAAGAAAGATAGTAATAAGAAAAGAAGGAAGAAGAAAGCGATAACCCGCGCGGATGTAGTATCGGGTTCAAATTAAATCTAAATTTAGTGAAGTTATTAATTATTAGGCCGCACAAATTTGATTTTTCGGTTCATTTCACCCGACCGGGTCACTTTTTCAAATTTCAATAAAAAAGAGTCTATATTAAAAAATTATCCCGTGATCAATACGTAATTTTATTGGCGGATAAGTTTATCACGTGGCTGAGAACTTCTGAAGCGAAAATAAATTCTTTAATTACCCCTTTAAAAGTCAACCAATCAGATGTCACGATTTTATATATAAACTTTTTTTATTAATAAACAGTAAACCCGGGTCCCCGGGTTAAATTTCAATGTTACGTGAACCGAAAAATTGAATTTGTGTGGCCTTAGAGTTCATATAAATTAAAGTAAAATTTTAACCAGACAAAAACTTTAATATTTTCATTTAACTTCAAGATACATGGGTTTTTTTTATTTCGTTTATGATTTCTCTTATTACAGATAATGTGTTTTAGTTAGATCTTTTAGCATAGTATTTAGATAGACTATTTAGATAGACTATTTAGTTATAGGGTCATTCAATTTTTATAATTGCTTTCCCCTGTGTATTTCTAAAATTAACGTGTAATTTATGCAAATACTTTTTAATCAATAAAGAAATGGGTTACTAAAAAAAAAAATTTTTATTCAATACTCGAGACATATCACGTGATCTTCGCATCGACATAGTTGTTTCCGAATATATATCTTGATTGATTCATGTAAAAGGACCATTTACGACCTAAAATGGTATTAAGATGCCATTTTCTTAAATGATTTTCTTTTTTTTCCGAAAAAACCTTGATTGATTTATTGTACTTCACATGTATAAAAGGCCATTTACAGATTAATATGGTTCATGGGTATTGTGGTAATATAACTACGTTAAATATTATATTTTTTGCTTGATATCAAAAAAATTTTTTTTTTTTTTATTACACGTAAAATATGGATAATTCAATGTCTGTGGACTTTTCAAATTTACTTGAAAATAATGAAGATTATAACGTAAAAATTATAGTTGGCGAGGAACCAAATATTAAAGAATTTAAAGTACATTCGATAATCTTATCTTCTAGGTCAATTTATTTCAAAAATGCATTGTCTTCACGATGGGCAAAGAAAGAAGATGGAATCATCGTTTTTAATAAGCCTAATATTGCACCCTTGGTATTTGAAGTACTTATAAAGTAAGTTTATTTCCAATGAATGATATATGATATTCGTAATAAAAATTTAATATTTTTGTAAAAATTTTTAAAATATAATTACGAATAGGCATATTTATACAGGAGTACTTTCAGTTGGAAATAATGAAGTTAATCTTATAGATGTCATCATTGCTGCCGATGAGCTTCAATTACTTGAACTTTATCAACAACTTGAAAATCAATTGCTTGGGAATAAATTGACTTGGAAACCAAAAGATATTATTACAGCTTTGGAACACGATCGTTTTACTAATTTATATAATTTTGCATTAGGATTAATGAATAGAAATCCTAAAATTATCTTTGAATCAGAATATTTCTCAAAAATTACAGAAGTTCAACTTATTCAGCTTTTGAAAAGTGATGAGCTTGAATTAGAAGAAATTAAAATTTGGGAATATTTAATTAAATGGGGAATTGAAAATACCGATTCTATTTTAGATGAAGATTCAATTAAGTGGACACCAGAGAATTTTGTGGATCTAAAAAATACTTTACATAATTGTATTTTTCACATTCGATTTTTTAATATGTCACCTAATGAATATACAAAAGCTACGTTCCATTTTAAAGGTATTCTACCAGATGGTCTTGATGAAGAAGTTTTACGATATTTTTCAGATCCTAATTCCAAGCCTTCATTCAATATTTTACCATTAAGAGGGTATCCGTTTGACTCTAAGATTATTAATTCTAAAGATGCAGCACTAATAGCAAGTTGGATCAATAAGAAACGAACGCCTTATCATTATAAAAGTTTACCTTTTAAATTTAAACTTATTTATCGTGCTAGTCGAGATGGTTTTGGAATTAATAAGTTTCATAACAATTGTGATAATAAGGGATCAACAGTCGTTGTCTTTAAAGTCCGTAATTCAAAAGAAATAATTGGCGGATATAATCCATTAGAATGGCGTAGCGTTAAAACAGAAGAAAATGAAACATCATCTCTATTATCTCATAATCAAGATTTTTATAATAATTATAATTATAAATGCAAAACATCAAATAGTTTTATATTTTCATTAACAAATCAAAAAATTCCTATATTAAGCCGAATTTCCTCCAAAGAAGAAGCAATCGTTTGGTGTAGAAATAAAGGACCATGCTTTGGTTTACAAGATTTGTGTATCAAACCTTTAAGTAATGTTGGCGTCATTTGTGAAAGCAGGCAGCATTCTTATGAAAAAAAAATTATTAACAGAGAAATTTTTGAAATAGAAGAATACGAAGTATTTCAAGTTGATAAGGGATTTTTTAATAGAATGCTTCAATTTATTACGAAGTGGTTCAAGAAAATTTTTCTATATATTATGATGAAAATAATTCTTATTATTAAGATAATTATTCATATAAGTTTACTCTTGATTCAACTCTCATTGTGTATAGTAATGTTTCCATTAGCTTTCATTCTACCTGGTTATTTATTGTATATTAGTGATATTGAGATTACTGGTCCTCTTACAGCTTTTGCAGTCATTTTTGCATATTTTTTCATGCTTATATTATTATTCATGACTGTTATTTATATAATGCGTTGCGTTAATGAATATATAGAACGTATCTGCAACAAGCTTTTTGGTGGTTACAACACTTCATCCTATGCAAGGTATTGTTTAGAGATAGCTAGCTGAGCATGTATCTGGGAATATGGTCACGATGGTTGCGGTGTTATTTGTATAATTTGTTTGTATCATATTAATTTCTAGATAAATAAAATTTAAGTTAAATTTTGATGTTTATTAAAATGTTGATAATCGATATTTATCATTTAAATTTGATAATTTACCCGTTATCATTATTTATTCATATCGATGCCACTCTACGAGTCCGATTATTTATCAATACATACCACGTGATCATATTTTATTGTGAAAAAATCATTTATAAAACTCTCTTCTCGCAACCGATTCAATAAATTACTGCGGAATTTTTTTCAGAGAAAATGATGAGTAAAAATAAAAATAAGACTAAGTCAACCTCAAACATACCTGTACAAGAGTTCGTAGACTCGTTCACGGAGTCCTTTACCAATTTTCTATCAGAATTTCTAGAGGGTTGTGTTTCCCACAGGGACGAGGACTTTATTTTAACGTTACAGAAAATCTTGTACCGGAAGGACGGTAAGTATAATTAAGTATATTCGCATATTCGTGTAAATGGTGCCATCACTGATGGCACCATTTAATTAGATAGGGTTTCGGCTTGTAATTTGAAACTTTGAGGTACGTATTTTTATTTTTATTATTTTTTTTTTATTCTTAAGAATAATAACTAACGTTTTTTTTTATTTTCTTTTTATAGAGACGGGTTTTTAGATTTAAACAAAAGGTAAGCTTCGTTAGTTTGTTTAATTTTACTAATACCGTATTTTGCGGTAAGTAAGCACCCCCGAAAGTAAGCACCCCTGGCCAGAATTATGGCGATTTTGGCCAAAATTATGAGGATCTTGGCCGGCATCAAGTGCAAAAATGGGGTGCTTATATACCGCAAAATACGGTATTTATATTTTTTTTTTTACGTTTAGGATGCCGAACTTGAAGTTATATTAGAGTATAGGCAAGAGTTTTATTTTATCTAATTGTTTTAAAGAAATTAACATTTTTCTTTTTACTTTTAAGACGTTAGATTCTTAACGAACTTGGACTTGAAGGGTGGGGAAGCGGTTTTTTTTTATTTAACGGACTTAAAAATTGATTTATTTTTATTTAATGGACTTAAAAAAATTTTTTTATTAATTTAAAATTGATTCTTTTTTTATTCTTTTTATTTAACTCAAAAAAATGAACTTATTTATTTAACTTTAGAAAAAATAAGGATCGCACCCACGTGGGCCATGCCACAGCTTTTCATTGGTAGAGATCTTGCGACTTGATTTGCGCGCATGAGGTAAATGTATTTTGAAAAATTTTAATAGAAAAAAAAACGAATTTTTTTTATAATACTTTTTTCTAAATTTTTTTACGAACTTTTTTATTTAAAAAACGAATTCCTTTATTAACTTAAAAAAAAATCTTTTTTATTTAATTATAAAATAAATTTAGAAAAAATAAGAACGGAGCGGAGCTTTTCAAAAAAAACCTTCAGTAGTTATACTTAGTACTAAATGAATATTTGCATGGAAATTTATATATAAAAAAATCTTTAATAATAATGAAACTTATATGTATACAACTATACATAACATACAGTAAGTTGATAATGCACAAAATTTTAATTAATTCGTCATCGAAAATTCTTAGTAATACTTAACATTTTTTTTTCATTTTTATCTAATCTCTCTTTAAAATAATTACTCGTAACAATCACCAAAGAAAGTAACCTATGATCTATGTGGTACATTATACTTAATAACCGTCTCCAGCACCTCTTTTTCGTCCAAAAATTTGTTTCCACAAGAAATTTCAATAGATTTTAAGTATTTACATTGTTTTTTTCGTATTTTTTAAAATTTAAAGTTAGTGCAAGAGCTGAGTAACTAAATTTATTGTATTATTGATATGACATGCTGTACATAAAATTCTTTTAATAATTTGTTAGAAGTACAAATTTTAAAATTTGTAATCGTGGAAAAGTACCAAATTGATAATTTTTCAAAATCAATTAAAACTTCGTCAAGGATTTAATGGTAAACGACAATGACGTATAATTGTGTTCATAAAGAGTTAACTTGATTAAGGTACTCAGAAGTTTTCTTATTAAAAAAGAAATAATATAATTATAATATTTTGCCATAATACACAAATTAAATCTGCTAAGTGACATAATTGTGATAGTTGATAAAAATTTCAGACGCTGAGATACTTTCAAATGATCTTTTGCTTCAGGACAGAGGGTAAAAGTTGAATTCTTTAAAAAGGAGATCTTATTTATGAACATCTAAAATACTTCCTGTACCATTATATTTGTATTATTGCTAAAAATTTGTGGTATTTCTCAATTTACATGATCATTTGATCATAAATGAATATATAGTAAGTCTTTCGTTATCTAAATATTCTTCAAGCGGTCAGTAGGAAGTTGAGACATTGTTTTTAAATATTAACAAAGAAGGGGTGAAACTAATAACTGATAATCCTAGACTAGTCCGAACAAAGTAGTAAAAGTCACGTGATCATCAGATGACTAAAGTATTTCACGTAATCACTAATACGTAAAAATATTTTTGTAATGATTTTAATTGTATTTTATTTATTATTTTTTAATTTATTAATTTTGCTCAAATAGTTCATAATTTTCACTAAAAAGCTTTGCCACAGAAACATATTAAATACAAATACACAAATTTGCATGATGCAGATAACTAATGGTAAATCAGAGTTTTGTAAAAATAATGATGAAAGCTAGAGAAAAAATTGGACAAACCCTAACCCTACTATGGAAATTATTTTTGAAAATTAAATAGATCAGAATATCCCGGCAAATAGATAATTTGGTAGAATTATTCTTCTTTAAATAGTCTTATGAAAAGATTATATGCGATTTGAATTTCTATTTAAGACTTTTAATATACTTTAATTTTATTGAGAGGGCAGGTGTTATGCAAATGAAGTAATAATGCACGCTTACTTTATAAAGAATGAATCCATGCTGAAGCAAATTTTAACATACTTTTCGCGCTATTTGAAGTCCAATGGATTGAAAATAACCAACTTCTTGACAATTCTCATTATCCAATTTCTCTTTTTTAACATTAGACCGATATAAATATTTTAATACAATTCACAAAAAATAGTTATAGTTTATTAATTAATTATTTTCCTATTTTTCTCTAAAATCTAATGCAAATATAGTGTATAACTATAAATAGAATGCGAGCGTAAAATAATATTCTTTTACAAAATATATCTTCAAGTGCCAATTATCTTTGCAGAAAATGTCATTATATGAGATGGTCCATTGGTCTTAATCATATTCTATTATAAATAATTATGATTATAATTAGTTGAGTAAACATAACCCTAGCATGCGTAATTTATCAAACATACATTATTAAGAAATTAAACCATAAAATAAACTAAAAGAAATCAAATATAATTGATAGTTTATATTTTAAATATAATTTAGTAACAAGAGATAAGTTATCGAAAATAATCTGTCAATTTAAAACATCAACACTTATCTATTATTCTGTCAATTAATTAATTAAAAAATCACATACTATACTAGGTAATAAACGGAAACCGTTGAAGTCCATCGCTTATTATTTATTTGTAATACGTGATTATATTTACTATATTTACAGAGATTCATTGTTACCTTTTTATGTATTGCTCGGGCTGTGTCAACTATCGATTTTACGTCAGCCGACAGCCGACATGCTCTTAGATATGTTATAATTGTTTTAAATGATCAATATCTTGGTAAACTTGAATTAATTTTACCAATTGCACTGTAAATTATTAGAAGGTTTATACATTTATAAAATCCTGCCTTATTTTATTGAATACATTAATTGGAGTTGCTCTGAATAATATTGTAATTTTAAAATGACTAGATTGGATTTGTTTTTAACTATTGGAAGGGTCGAAAACATTGTATTCAAATTCTATTACTGATATGAATGTGTTTATGATTTAATAATATAAATGAAATGAAAATTGTGATTGACGGAAAAATATATTCAAAAACATGATTTCACGTAAAAATTTCTTTACCGATAACAAATTAAAACGGGAGCCAAAGTGGATTTTGTGGATAATTGGGATTTTTAGTTTTCATGCATTGCAAAGCTGATGTCACTCGCATGTCGTAATAAAGCTATTTTTCCTTGGATTGAAATTAGGCGATCGATTAGTAGCGTAGAATTGGAATTTATGGGTACTAATTTTTTCTTTTTGTAGGAATTTGGTTGTTGTTAGGTGGACTTTGGGTATTAAGGTTTAGACTTTTTAGAGGCGATGAGCTATTTAGCATTATTCACGGTTTTATTACGGTGGAACTTAATACAAAAACAAAGGAAACTTTAAGTAATTTAGGATTAGTGTGTACAGCTAAAAATCTGTTAGGTCTAGAAATGATAAGTTTATCTTTGTGGAGTGAATTGGGGGTTTTTTTTATAATTTTTATATTGGATAGTGATGTTGATTCGGTTTATAGTTTTTATTTATTGCTTATAGTTGCCTTTTGCACGCTTCGCTATATATATTAAGTCACGCTCAGATAGATTACTTTGATTTCTAAATTAATATATGTACAGTACCTTGGGTTACGTGAATTAATAAAGAAATGCGTTGCAATTTTTTTTTTTTTTTAAAAAAAAATATATTCAAAAATCCTAAATATATAATAGTATTAGAAAGAATACTTTTAAAAAAAATAATCATATATAAATGGTTAATATCTATTTTTTAAAAAATAAATGTTATAAATTAATAAAAAATAATTATCGCTGTTTTCAGAATAGTGCGAAGGAAATCAGTTTTCACAAATCTAGGAAACTCAGAATTTTCCTGTAGGGACGGGTCGATTATTAACGATCTCCGAAGGAATTCTTGCAGAAATCTCGATTATTTTAATTATTTTACTATAAGTGAGTTTTAAAATTTTGTGTAACACTATCTTATTTCCAAGGAAAAATACTTAAACATTTGAAAATTTCACAAATTTCCTCTGGTAATCACTAATAACCGAC